TTTTAATTATCTTATTAATATTAATTATATTTAAGTAGAATTAAATTGTATTTCAGCCTTTTAATTTATGAACTACTCATTTTTATTAATTATAGTTATTAAGTTCTAAACTATATTATTATTATTATTATTATTATTATTTGCATGGGCCTTAACATTTGGGATTTGTTACAAATCCATTAGCATGGTGAAAGGGTCCATTTGCAACCCACTTTGAATCATATTCAAATTTGAATTACAAGTCCTAGTGGTTTATGGAAATAAGCCAACTAGAGCCCATTTCAAGTCCCTTAAATGGAAATTAGTCAATGATTGAAGAGAGAATAAATGATTGAAAATCATTCTCTCTATAAATGGTAAATTGCCAACCCTCTTCACTATGGAAGGTAACTAGAGCCAATCAAATCTCTAGTCAATCAAAGCACATCTTCCCATAGATGGAAATTAGCCAATGATTTAAGAGAGAATTATGGATGATAAATTATTCTCTTCAAAATGGCAATAATTACAACATTTTACTCTTTATAAAAGGGTAAAAAGAGCTAATCATATCCTCAATTAAGGGGATTAAGAGATTAAACCAAGAAATCTACAAATAGGGATTCCCATAAAGAGGGAGGAGGCTTTTGGAGTCAAGGAGAAACTAAGTAAAGTTAGAAAGCTCTTGGAAGAGGAACCACATAAGGTTGCCAATAGGTTAGGTTTGGGTCGGGACCAGCTAGAATCGGAACTAACCCGATAGGAAATATTGAGGATCTAGAATTGAACTGGACCAGATAGGGTTTGTAATTTTTAGACCCAAAACTAAACTGATCGATTCCTGGGATATATAATAAATAAATAAGTACATTTAGTATATATTAAATATTAAATATATATTATACACCATATATATTATTATATATATAACTTATTTAATATATATATATGTATTATGTATTGTCAACACCTAATTTTTGTTTGGTTCATCGCCTAAACCWCCAATTCACCCCAAATACCTGATCAGGCACTTTCGATATCTCTGACGCACCTGAAAACCCAAAAATCCTAGCTTTTAGCCCTAAAGCCCTCATATCCACCGTTAAATCTACTCGACACCTATTTGATGGCCCCGATTGACTCTCACTTACACCTCAACCATTAGATCAGACACAACCATCAAACC